CACACACTTCAACGCTAGTTTCAGCGTCCTTCAGCACTTCAATACCTGCTTCAACACACACTTCAACGCTAGTTTCAGCGTCCTTCAGCACCTTCAGTACCTGCTTCAAACACACACTTCAACGCTAGTTTCAGCGTCCTTCAGCACCTTCAGTACCTGCTTCAACACACACTTCAACGCTAGTTTCAGCGTCCTTCAGCACCTTCAGTGCCTGCTTCAACTCACACTTCAACGCTAGTTTCAGCGTCCTTCAGCACCTTCAGTACCTGCTTCAACACACACTTCAACGCTAGTTTCAGCGTCCTTCAGCAGCTTCAGTACTTGCTTCAACACACACTTCAACGCTAGTTTCAGCGTCCTTCAGCACCTTCAGTACCTGCTTCAACACACACTTCAACGCTAGTTTCAGCGTCCTTCAGCACCTTCAGTACCTGCTTCAACACACACTTCAACGCTAGTTTCAGCGTCCTTCAGCACCTTCAGTACCTGCTTCAACACACTTCAACGCTAGTTTCAGCGTCCTTCAGCACCTTCAGTACCTGCTTCAACACACACTTCAACGCTAGTTTCAGCGTCCTTCAGCACCTTCAGTACCTGCTTCAACACACACTTCAAACGCTAGTTTCAGCGTCCTTCAGCACCTTCAGTACCTGCTTCAACACACACTTCAACGCTAGTTTCAGCGTCCTTCAGCACCTTCAGTACCTGCTTCAACACACACTTCAAACGCTAGTTTCAGCGTCCTTCACACCTTCAATACCTGCTTCAACACACACTTCAACGCTAGTTTCAGCGTCCTTCAGCACCTTCAGTACCTGCTTCAACACACACTTCAACGCTAGCGTTTCAGCAGTACCTTTCAACCACACTTCAGTAAGCTTCAACTTCACACACACTTCAACGCTAGTTCAGCGTCCTTCAGCACCTTCAGTACCTGCTTCAACACACTTCAACGCTAGTTTCAGCGTCCTTCAGCACCTTCAGTACCTGCTTCAACACACACTTCAACGCTAGTTTCAGCGTCCTTCAGCACCTTCAGTACCTGCTTCAACACACACTTCAACGCTAGTTTCAGCGTCTTCAGCACTTCAGCTTCAACTCACACTTCAACGCTAGTTTCAGCGTCTTTCAGCACCTTCAGTACCTGCTTCAACACACACTTCAACGCTAGTTTCAGCGTCCTTCAGCACCTTCAGTACCTGCTTCAACACACACTTCAACGCTAGTTTCAGCGTCCTTCAGCACCTTCAGTACCTGCTTCAACACACACTTCAACGCTAGTTTCAGCGTCCTTCAGCACCTTCAGTACCTGCTTCAACACACACTTCAACGCTAGTTTCAGCGTCCTTCAGCACCTTCAGTACTGCTTCAAGTTTCAGCACTTCAGTACCTGCTTCAACACACACTTCAACGCTAGTTTCAGCGTCCTTCAGCACCTTCAGTACCTGCTTCAACACACACTTCAACGCTAGTTTCAGCGTCCTTCAGCACCTTCAGTACCTGCTTCAACACACACTTCAACGCTAGTTTCAGCGTCCTTCAGCACCTTCAACTCACACTTCAACGCTAGTTTCAGCGTCCTCAGCACAGTACCTGCTTCACACACTTCAACGCTAGTTTCAGCGTCCTTCAGCACCTTCAGTACCTGCTTCAACACACTCAACGCTCAGCGTCCTTCAGCACCTTCATACCTGCTTCAACACACACTTCACGCTAGTTTCAGCGTCCTTCAGCACCTTCAGTACCTGCTTCAACACACACTTCAACGCTAGTTTCAGCGTCCTTCAGCACCTTCAATATTTTCAGCGTCCTTCAGCACCTTCAGTACCTGCTTCAACACACACTTCAACGCTAGTTTCAGCGTCCTTCAGCACCTTCAATACCCGCTTCAACGCTAGTTTCAGCGTCCTTCAGCACCTGCTTCAACACACACTCCAACGCTAGTTTCAGCGTCCTTCAGCACCTTCAGTACCTGCTTCAACACACACTTCAACGCTAGTTTCAGCGTCCTTCAGCACCTTCACCTGCTTCAACACACACTTCAACGCTAGTTTCAGCGTCCTTTCAGCACCTTCAGTACCTGCTTCAACACACACTTCAACGCTAGTTTCAGCGTCCTTCAGCACCTTCAGTACCTGCTTCAACACACAAACGCTAGTTTCAGCGTTCACACCTTCAGTACCTGCTTCAACACACACTTTCAACGCTAGTTCAGCGTCCTTCAGCACCTCAGTACCTCTCAACACACACTTCAACGCTAGTTTCAGCGTCCTTCAGCACCTTCAGTACCTGCTTCAACACACACTTCAACGCTAGTTTCAGCGTCCTTCAGCACCTTCAGTACCTGCTTCAACACACACTTCAACGCTAGTTTCAGCGTCCTTCAGCACCTTCAGTACCTGCTTCAACACACACTTCAACGCTAGTTTCAGCGTCCTTCAGCACCTTCAGTACCTGCTTCAACACACACTTCAACGCTAGTTTCAGCGTCCTTCAGCAC